TTTTCAGGCGAAATCATAAATTTAACATTAGTATTTTTAGCAAAGCATATTAAAGAAGCCCCTCCCAATGAAATATATGTTGCTTTCTATTAATACCAATAATTTATTCTCCCCGTTTATATTTAATTTCATTTAAGTTGTTATTAAACGTACAAGGGCTGTTTGAATTGCTATTTTTAGAGCTTTTGTAGAAAAAATATATTGTAGCAATTTTATATATGTAAATAAAAAATAATTAAAAATTGTATTCATAAAAAACATAAAAAAATTTTCCTTAAAGAGTGTGCTTGTTTTCATTTGTTTTAGTAGAACTCTCGTAGTAGTATTGCAGGTATTCTCGTTCCCCAAGAAAAGTTGAACATGAGAAAGTAGTAGTATTTGAATTTACGAGATTTATACAAATAATTCAAAGTTTTGAAAAATCGGACCAGACCAACTGGTCAATCGCGAAGTGGCAATGGCATCAATTCAGTTCCATATTAACCTGTAAAATAAAAGAATTTGGCAAATTCGGTCAAAAACTGGTTAAACCGGTAAAAATTAAACCAACGAACTGTTTTTGCTTTTCTCAATTAGTTTCTTCTTTTTTTTTTTTTTGTATTCAGTGGCATCCAAAATATTTACTACTAAAATGAATAAAATAATTGAAATATGAAATGAACCAAACGGTTGGACCACAGATCAAAAGCTCAACCATTTCACTCACGGTGAGGAGCAAGAAATTGTTCAAACATAGTACAAGTATGATCTGCGTATTCTTCGTTAATAATTTTTTTTTGTCAAAGACAAATGTGTCAAGTCAAAATGGGATTAGGAGGAAAACAAACGTAACTGACAGCCCACGGTCATAAAATGAGATTAGGATACATTTATGTAAATTAATCAACTTATAATTTGCATCCCTCGTAGTAATAAAGAATTCTTGGTGACAACACAAATTTGTTTAATTGGTAAGAACGCGTCACTTTCTCAACAAAAAAAAAAAATTAGTTAAATTGGTAAAAACGTACCACTTCCTCTCGAAAGTTTGTTCGTATGTTCGAATCTCATTACCGTTACTACTTACTAGTGCTGTGTTGGTTGACGATCCGTGATAACTCCATAAGTGACCTAATGATACCGGAAGCATCCCATGACCTGTAGTAGTAATTGGAATTGAACCCATCCACACATTTATCTACCCAAAACAAAAATTCTTGGTACTCTCATGCCTGTACCTCAGTGATGGATATTGAAGCGGTTCAAATTACTTAGGAAATCCAGCTAAGCACCCACTTTTAATAAAACTCCCTGCAGATTACCATAATCCAAATCACAATTTCAAACTATTTATGGTACTAGTTTCAACTGTAAAATTTATATGCGTTATTAATGGCCGCCCTTGAAGTCTTGAACCTCCTCCGTGGCCTCCTTTAAGTATCATATACTTTGATTACTTCTCAACATGTAAGCTTGGGACAGTAAAGTTTCAGTGTGAAAAAATAGTTTACTAGAAGAATGGGCCATTGGTCTTCTAGACCATCAGAAGAAGATGGGAGACAACAGCCTCAGGTGGAAGATTCGTCAAGCTTGAGAAAAAGGTGCCTTGCTTTTGCAAAGGAGCAGAGAACAAAGTTTTACATAATTAGGAAATGCATCACCATGTTAGTGCGTTGGGATAAGTATGATGTATTTTGATTGATTACTTGTCCAATATCTGTAACAAATATATAATAACAGTACTTCTCTTTGTTTTCTATACCTATTTCTTTCCAGGTTTCTTGATTCACTTCTTTTACAATAAGATTTGAGGGATCAGGGGCTAAATTTCGTTTTAATTTCTAAGTTACAAAAACCGCAGTTAAGTACCACCAAGGATGCCAGATATCAGCAAGAACTTGATATGGTCTCATGGTATTAAAGGGGAAATAATCATTCATTAGATGTTGTGCCGTGTAAAGATGCTACTTGGAGATGTCAACACGAACCCACATCAAGAGAGGGACAACTCTGTGGGGCTTTTATTGGATGGATAAGGTCACTGCTCATGAGCATAAGCAGCTGGTGTTTCTTTCTTTAATCTTGATCCTGATTTTGATTTTGATTTTGATTTTTTTTTGTAAACTTTTATGATGATGAGATATAATAGGACTGTACTGGTTCAATGAAGGAAGAGGAAGACCATTTCCCTGTCAATGGTGGATGTAACTTGCCCTTAAAAAAAAAAAAAAAAAAAACAAACAACCATTGCTTTAATCTCTAACTTGGATGCCATCTAATTGCTCTACTCTCACAACTCAGCATCTGATGTAGTACTGATGTTTGATACGCATAAGCAAATTAGAAAAAAATAATTTTGGATTAGAGTACAAGGAAAATTTTCAAGGGATAGATATTTGATTGTTTATACACTTTCCTTTAAAGCTTATCAGTAGATGGCAAGGACATAATAATCCAAAAGTTCCATAAAATGGTAAGGAGATGTGTCAAGATTCTCACCTCATCTCATCTCTGGTTTCACATTTGGAACTGATAATTAAAACTGACGATTGTTGAGATCATCATTTTTTTTTTCTTTTTTGGCTGTGCGAAATAATGCTGTAGGACAAATGAAATAATTGAAGAGTTTAAGGTCACAACAAGACATACTGCACCGAAAGTATTTTACTCCACCAGGGATTTCCAATGCAAACATGACAACAAAAGTTAACTGCTGATGATGATGTAGCCCAAATTCTGTATTTTCACATGTCAAATTTCGTTCACAGAAAGACTTAAATACGTCTCTCAAGCTGGTCAAGGCAGTGTTCACACTCAGAAAGTCCCAATTTATGGTTTGGTTATCATTTTGTCATTCTCATAGATCCAGGAATTAAACAAGAAGATGTGTGAACTTGTGCAGGATTCTAGCTGGTTTGGGATGTTTCTATTAGGAGAAATGCAATTTTGATCTTCAATATTTAGCACTTGTGCAATTTTGGTCGCTAAGGTTTTGGTAAAAATAAATCTAATCATTAATGTTTGTTATCTGGTGTAGTTTGAGTCCTTAAAAGTTTCGGCAAAAATAAATTTGGTTCCTAATGTTACCAATTTGAAGTAGATTTAGGGCAATTGATTGATTTTCTCAAATGTTAATGGAATCAATCACGTGTTATCACATGTTTGTTGAATTAAACATCTTAAAGAAGAAGCAATATAGCAGGTAATCTAAACAATAAGAATAAGAATAACTCACTTGATGGCACATAAGTAGTTAATTAATTAAGAAACAAAAAAAAAGAAATTTGTTAATCTATATGAGAAATTGTGTTTGGATTGCATTTTCCGTCATTTTTCATGGAAAAATTAACGATTTGATATATGTGAGGGAAAAAGGTGATAGGAAAATGTGATCACGAAAAACGACAATATTTTCCGACGGAAACAAGCAATCCAAACAAGGTCTTGCGATTTTTTGCTTGGGGGCAGTGGGGATAGAAAGTGAAGAGGAGTTCTTGATGGATGAACAGGGTATTCTGACTAGTTTTAGTTTTTTAGTTTAAAAATTTTCTTCGTTTTTTACTAATTTGTTAGTTAGCACGTGAGTTATTAGTTCTTAATTTTGTTGTTTAAATTTAGCTACTAGTTTGCTTCTTTATTTTGAAATTTAATTTAACAGACACATGACTAGACGTGACTAAATTCTGTTGTAAATTGGAAAAAATTCTTTAAATGTCCAAAATCTGCTTTAAATTGGAGACCAAATTTACTCTTGCGAAAACCTTAAGGACTAAAACTGCACATGTGCTAAACACGAACAACTAGATTTACTTTTGCCAAAACTCTAAGGACTAAAACCTTTTAAGGGAATAAAACTGCATTTTTCTCTATTTCCATCATGGCTCACTGTTACGGCATTCTGGATGTATTTGTGGCAGGTACGGTCATCAGGCAGATCGTCTCTAAGTAGTTCACGGTCAAGATTTGATAAAAAAAAATTGTACGATTCAGATCTTATTTGTACTTTATTTTTAACAACATGTGTGGGACTCACAAAATTTTATTCTAAAATTACAGGTTGTTGAAAGTAAGTTACATCATGTAAAAAGAGAGTTATGCTGTGTGCAAAATGCATATAACCTTCAGGAACGATTGCAAAATGTATATAACCTGCAACCGCTCCTGCCGCTGGTCCATTCTGGATCTAATCTGTTTGCTTTCTGTGGAGGACCTAATCGAAATAAATACCAGACCCTTGGATCTTCTTCAAAAGTAGTATACCGTACTCTGTAGAATTTAATTCATCTCATCGATAACTATGCCTGTTTCAGAAACTCCTTTTTGCTCTTTTTTGGGTCTCTTCTAGTATTCCACCTTCTTAAGGGGGCCATCGCCTGTCATATTATTAATTCGCAGCTAATTCAGATACAAGACAAGTAATAAAAATGTACGTAGCTTATTTGTTTGACCACTTCAATACTTCTCCCACGCAAATCTGATCAGTAGTACTTCAGACAATGAAAAAAAAAAGGTACAACATTCCTCATTTGATTTTCCAACTCTTAGCACTGAATTTTGTTTCTAACAAATATTAATTTCAATCAAAAAATTGTTACTCGATGGAGAACCACTTTGTTTTTATTAGTTACTGCCACTGGTAAGAACACGTAGTTTTTTATTTAAAGGAAAAAATTTAGATAATTTTGACTTCGATTATCACCACAGTTCAGAATAGGTTTTAAGAACCTTAGGTCACTTACATGGTACTTACAAATTATTCATCCATACAATCCTTAATTTTTATAAGGTAAATAGTTGCACTATAGAGGACTAGTGTATTTATTCGTTATTACTGCCACTGGTATAGAGTGATAAACACTTAACATATTTCTAACTCTTTTCGTAACATCAAGATGCTGATTTATTGTATCTGTGTCTATGGGGGTGGGATGGGGTTCTTGCACTTCATGATGCGTGCAACTAGTGAAAACTATAATGAAATGTTGCTGTGTGTGGAAAGGCAACAAGTCTTCCAACAGTAAGACAGTAGTATGCGGACCAGTAGACATTTTGTTAGCGACAAGCAATTTGGATAAAAATCATCCCTTGGACTCTAACATCACTTCTAAGAACACTATTATTATGTTTTGTTAGCAAAGCTAAAGAAAGAAGCCCGGTAGCTATCAAGCTTGGTTTTCAATTCGTAGATTGCTGGGATGCAATTGAAGGCTGATAGAAACCGTCCCAGGAATTAAACAGTTTAGTGAGCAGCAGTATAGGTGAGTAAATATACCGACCAAAGAACCTTTGATGGGTTTGAAATTCAAATGCAGGCGTCATGGCCACCAATATGCCTTTTTCCGACCTCATAAATGCATAATTGAAAGCTCCAGATTTGTTTCAGTGAGCTTTTTCATCGTTTCTTAGCTTTTGAGTAAATATCCCCAACCGCCTTTTTGCTGTTGGGTTGTTGGCAAATTCAATGCCCAGCTTCTCTTATATCTCATCCCAAATAATTTGCTCCTTTCTTCTCATATTGTCCCCCTCCTCCTTCTCCTCCTGTATTTCTCTTGACTTTTCGTGGACATGTACTAATTCCTTCCCAGACACAAAGTTCCTAGAAGAGGGTCACAAGCCATTATATTGTTTACTACTATCACAAAATTTGATTAGGTCTTCTCAGCGTATGTTGGCTTATCTGTGGTCACAAGGATTGTGTGTAGTCCCTCTTTGTTCACCCTTGCATCAGTTATAATATGAAGAAGGCTGTCATGTTCCTTCACATTGAAATTGAATCAGTTGTTACTTGCGTTGTTTGCAGGAACGTCCAACTAAAACAGAAGGCGGGTTTAGTGATAGTTAGCACATCAATAATACGGGATATTGGTGCGGTTCAATTAGAAAACCGTGCTCTCTTGTGCATAGAGCCCCGTTATTTGATTGAGCCGTGCCAATATCACGTATGGCTTCTACTGCTAATTATCACAACAACATTTCTCTGCTTGTTACAAAATCTTGAGCTAGCTGTACATGGAATCTCTCATCAGGTATTGAATTCATCAAATGTATCTCTATACTAGCTTAGTACTACTCCATATAGGCCTTCAAAACTTGCATCAACCAGCTTACTTACTTACCAAGTTGCAAAAGAGGTTTCTTTGTTCTTCCTTCTCTATCTGCTTCCAGGCAACGAACACAGGAGGAGTATAATCTCGTAGCAATATAGCAGAAAGTGGAAGCAGCAGGCAATATAGCAGAAAGTGGAAGCAGCAGGCAATATTCGGGGTGCTTAAGCTGGAACATCTGGCGTAATCTTACGGCAAAAACTTTAAATCAATCAACCATGATGTATTTTGTCACTCCTCAGGACTGGGAATCATCAGTTGAATGCAAGAGAACCTAGAAGCGTATCAGAGAAGCTCCTTGCTTACTTATGCAGTTGAGCAGCAATTGTAAATTGAGTATGCATCTGACCCACAAGTAGCTCTTGGCAATGGAAACATGTACCATCTTTCAACTTTCTTTTAGTTTCTACTGGTCTTTCTTTTACTAAAATATTAAGAATTATTGATCATGACTTTATTCAAGCCGTGAAGAGAGTTAACCACGATTTCCCATTATGAGAAAGGGTATTGTCATGTAGTTGGTGGAAATGAAGCTGGAATTGACAATGCTTTGGCGTTGCATTAATTTGCTTACCCCATAAGGGTTGTCCACTTTTTTTTTTTTTTTAGAAAGTGGTGTGGCAGGTGGAAGATTCTGTTTGTTTCTGTTTTTTAATTCTCATTATTATAGCTAACTTAAGGGGAAAAAGTTTGCAAAAGTGAACCATATGCAATATCTATAATGCAAATCCAAGATAATAATGACCATCTTTATCTATTCACTGTGTTTAGCTTCTGAGCACAAGTTTTGTCGTTTACAATATTGCAGCAACATAGGAGTCACAGTTGCATGTCGTGTGAGATTCATCTGCACGCGTGCATGCAGTTTGATGGGAATTAAACTCTCCCCATATTGATTTAGTCTCAACTGTTCAGCACTAACATGGCAGTCCTCATCTCCAATGCGAATATCCATGACATTTTAGAAGTCATGATTAAGGTGACATATATTATAAGCCTGTAAATCAGATGTGTAGTTCAAACCAAACGAAAAATAGATATATGTATACATATATATATGTGTGTGTGTGTGTGTGAAAAGGCCAGTGATCCATCGATTATGACTAGTGATCATGGAGATCATTTGCTTGTTTCAAAATGTATTCTCAAGCATGCGTGATGCCTAATTATGATGCTGACAATAGAAAGACAATGACAAAAACATAGCACCCACAATGCAAGGGCAATTTTACTACACAGCATCATGTTGCATAAAGCATTTGGGGCTCCATCCCTTGAAACAGCACAGGAATCAGTCAAGAAGTGATGAACACCTTCTTAATGAAAAAACGTGGGAGGAAAAAGGTACACTGAATTATAAAAGGTACAGCTCCCCATTATGCTGTTAACTAATTTACGACATCTCGAATTCTCAGAAGGTAAACTGCTGAGTGATTCCTGAACAAAACTAGGGCCTGCACTTATATTGAGCATTGACCCCACAATGGACGAAAGGAGACAATGGAAATTTGGAACATTATATATGTTTCTGCAATGTACTTGCACAGTTGCACTGAATGAAGGAACAGCGCCTAATTCTGTCATTCTCAGTGATGTTATCTAAAATATTTGTGAGTTTATTGACAGTAATCTTCAATTTTATTTTGGAAATAAATAAACGAGGTGATCACCGATACAATAGTACAGTTCTATCCTTGTTTGGATTACCATTTTTTCTCAAAAAATATTTACATTCTTTGTGGACACATTTCATAATCACTTTTTTATCTCACATCTATTAAATCGTTACAAACACATTTTTTTACAAAAGCTCCAGAAAATAATAATTCAAATGCTCTAGTTTTAGGTCTTATTGCCATTTTTACCATTTAGCCTGTCCCATGGCCCATCTTAACATAATTCTTGCTGTTCGTACCCTATAGGAGTCCTCAACTTTGGCGTAATCTGCAACTGATTCTTTATCTAAGCTTTAAGTGATTTTTAGACTTGAAATTTCCTTGAAATTTTGTCAGTCAATATAGCAATAAAATTTCATTTTGAAGTTAAATCACTGCAAGGGATTCAGTTTTCATCTTTTCATTTTTCTAGCTTAAAATTTTCCTGTTATATTACTACCATTAATGTAAATGTACAGCAGATATAACGCAAAAGCCAGGTTGATCCCCATTGAGAAGTCTAGCAATTCAAAAAAATTTATTTATTTTTCTTCAACACTATATATATATTCTGTTCAAATCTTGAATCTTCACCAACATGGTCATGTCATCTGTTTCTTGTATCCGTTTATGACTTTGTATCAAGCATGCTTGAATATCAATCATATGTTTAAGCCGCATGTAAGGAAAATAAGGGCAAAGACAATAACATTTAAAACAGCTTCAATTAAAAACCATATCTACTACCTTAGAAGATATAAAAGAAAAATTACGATTACCTGTGGTAGAGAGGATTTTCAGAGATGCTACAAGGTAACCAGTATGGAAGTCAGAATGAGTATAGCTTGTGTTTGAAGAGATCCATAACCATTAATTACAGCTTTCTGAAAGCATGCATTCCCAAGAAATTAGTGTCATTTAGATCTAAGCTTGATCTTCACATTAAGAAAGAATTATACTAGTAATAGTTTACAGACCTCCAAATACTGAAGTCTTCTACAAATAGTTTTTCTGTGTCTTGGCAGGGGCTATATATTACAGGCAGCTTGAACAGCCTCAACGATACCAGAAACTAGTATTATTATCTTGGAAGAGAACAGCACATTGTTCTTGCCTACTTAAAATTTAATACCATGGAGTGATTTTTTTTTTTTCTTCAGTGCCTCTGAATCTCTCTGATTCTCCAAGGAGACGTGGAAATTCTACCGCATCTCTAGTCAAATGTAGCTGCAGGTGTGGTGCATCAGATAGTTCCACCCCATTACAATCTAGCAAATTAGTTTCTTCATTGAATTTGACACAGAACTTCTCCTCAAGCTGCAGCTCTGTTAGATATAGCCATATGCATCATTTTGTATGTTGGTGCAATATATTGTAATTTGATGGCCTCAGTTGGACAAAATAAATGTGTCTACCATACAAAATTTGACTTCCTTTTAAAGAACTAAGATTTCATTATGTGATAAAGAAAGAGTGTTATTACAACAGCAAATAATTAAGTTTCTGTGATCATGAAAGCTCAATTGACATTATTCTAAGTAGAATTTTCATATTGTCCCTTATAAGCTAAGATCCTACCAGGTGTTGAAAAGTCATTTCCGGTTTTACGTGTTAAGTAGTTTAGTAATACGTTTCTATGGCAAACAGGAATTTTGTTTTCTTATAATCAGAACAAAACGTGAAACATGGAGCTTGGAGTTCGCTGCGTACCTGTGTCAGCTTTACAATCTATCCTACATTCACTTGGTTGCAGATGGAATTACCCTGCATAAGAATCTTTTTAAGGAGAGTCGGAGACATGATATACATTCAAAGTTTGGAATGTACAAGTTCACAAGATCATGTAGATGCCAATAGGGAAATCTTTTACAAATTTAAAGTTTAAATCATGGTAAGAGAGAGATCAATTCCCGTGATATGTCCATTATCACCATTAGCTACAGAGCCTAGACATCATGATCATATCCTATTTTCTTGTTTCAGTAAAATAATCTCTTCTTTGAAAGATAGGAGACCAATGGATCAAGTTGCAGCACTCTATCACAAGCATGCTTCAAAGATTCGGCTGAGTCGTCATTGGAACGGGGCTTTTCGATCCGATATCGGGACGAGATGACTCTGAAATAATGAATCGCCTAGAATTAGGCTGAGACGTCTTCAAGACGGATAGAAACGGCCGAGTCACCCCGAGTCAGCTCGAATTTTTATTATTTTTACTAATTTTTTTAATTATTTTTTATCATATTTTTTTATAATTTTTAGAATATTAAATATTTCAAAAATTTGCGTCTCGCCGAGACCACGACCGCAACCGCTACCACTACTTTGAACCATGGGCACAAGACCAGAAACACTGAAATAATCAGCTAAGGAAATGCTAGATATGGAAAAGTGTATACAGCTCATTTCACTTCTTCTGTCCTCAGGTTTAGGTTTGATACCTGTAACTAATAGTACTTATTAGATAGTGTTTCTAAGATTTCTCTGCAGAAAACTTGAGATAAGGAAAACTTCAGGAGAATCCATTCGTTTAAGATTAGGCAACATAGACAAGTACCAGTAACATATTTCTTTGTATCTCAACCACAATTTATATGTGTGCTTCCTAATCTTTCAGCTCCACACTTCGTTTCGCTGCATCTTCATTTCTATGCACAATCAAACCGTGTAAACTTCTTTTTACATTGTCATTTACTTCAGTTAGCAACTTTACCCTTTAAAAAAAAATGGAATGATTGCAAATATAAACGAGATTGAAATTCATGTTGGCACACCGAAAATTTGTTATCGACACCATACTCGAGTTTTTGTTTCGATGTAAAAAGTAAAAAATACCGTAATCCTTCATTGAAATTGCATGCTAATTAAGAATATGGAGCGGTATTAATTGCAGTGGGGGGCAAAAATTACTACTTGGTTATTGTGAGAACATGCTTAAAAAAATAAAGGATATGTTATTAACGAACTTAGGAATGCCACTATCAATTGCTGAAATAAATAACACAACCATATCTTTCATTAAAAGAAAAAGAAATAAGATACGCCTAGTTTCCTGTAAGAAGCAGTAAACTACTAGACTTATAGCTAGTTTGGGAGTTTAGGATAGAAAAGAAAAGAAAAGAAACCTTAAGTTATGAAAGAAAAGAAAGGATGAGAAAAGAAAAGAAGAGATTTTGATGTTGTTTGGGAGTTTAAAGAAAGAAGTGGAAAGATTTTGGATATACATGTCATTAAAAATTTATTCAATAACCATTTAAGGACATAATTGGCATTTTGAAAAAAATTTGTAGCCACTTTCCAATTTCTGTCCAAATCGGGGCAAAATGGGCGGAAAGCTTTTCTCTACTATAGCTTCAAAATGAATCTGATCAAATCAGTCCGTTTCTTTTCTTTTCTGACATAAAAAACCTCCCAAAGAGTGGAAAATCAATTCCCTCGGTTACTTTCTTTTCTTTTCTGATCAAATCTCTCCTCCCAAATGCACTATTAGAGTTTTTCTTGCTATGAGATTGAAAGTTTGAATGGGATGGAAAGGTTGTAGAGAAGGGTGGGAGGTTTAATAATAAAAAAAAAAAGAGTAAACTACTAAATTATTGCAGGAGGATATTTGAGTTATCTAGGATTCAAGATTATCCTATAAGCCCAAGTGCCAAACAATAACTAACCCATGAAAGTGTTAGACCTTTGTGAGGCAATCATCCTAACCCAGTCTTTAACATTTTACCGAGACACCTGTGTGACTGGTCGTACTTTTTGGGCTTCAAAAACTCGATAACAATTAATTAATAGTGGGAGAGACGCTAAAGTGAATGGCAAGGTGTATGCCAGCATAAGATTTCAG